CTGGACTGGAAGAGGCATTATATATTTTTGCCCTTAAGATGAAAAGACATCACCCAAACTTCTATAGTACTCTGCTCTGGTCCCTCCACATTTTGTCTTAAAGTCTTGTTCTGAATCATGACCTCTATAACCTTTCCTATTTCTTCCACTCCCAGTGTCTTTGTGCTCATGTGGCATGCAGAGGAATATTTCTCGTGCTGGTCCTCACGTGCTCAACAGCACGGTCTCATCTTCCCTAGCCATCAGGAAGCCCAGCACAAGGTGGGCCTCAGTAGGCAGTGACCTCCCCAGTGCAGAGGGTTCCTACCTCACTGAGTTTATTGAGTGCCTCTTCTCCTCACCTCCCTCTCACCAGCACTGCTGTCTGGCCCACTCCAGTGCTTGCTATTTTAAATTTAATTTTCCTGTGGACTCTTCTCCAAACATCTGAGTTTCCCCAATGTCTAGGACAGTATCTTGCTTATTTCTGTGTCTCTTGGACTTCATAGGAACTTAATAAATATTTATTGGCCAATTTATTACATATTTTGCCCCTTCAGAACAGGAACCAGTCCTGTTTATTTGGCCAGCTTGCTGTGAGGGCTGGTTTGTTTTTCAGAACTGTGTTAGGAAAGACAGAAAGATTAGAAGCGAGGAGAGACCCACTCACTTTTTATCCTAAAAGCTTTTTGTGTTCTTTGAAATTTTACCACATGCATGTGTTCATGTATTACTTTTGAAATAAAAAGACACTGTTTTGAAATAAATGATACTGTTTATATGAATAATGGCTGAAGGGTACACGATGGCCTTTTTGAGGTTTGATTTTCTCACTCTTCTACAGTGTGCCAGTCTCTAATCCTTCCAAAGAGCGTCACATCTCTCTCTCTACTTTGTAAATGTGTTTAAGAAAATTATACAAAACTTAGGGGCGTGTATTAGGGATATTATGTGGGCTGTCACGGGGGAACATTTAACTGCTTGGAGTCATTTGCAATATTATTTCAGCTGTGAGTAGAGTTTAGTTACCAGACTCCCTGCATCCCTCCTCCACAGGCGTGGACAACCATTTTCCAGTTTATTCCCTCCTGTTTCACTGGGCCAGGGGGCTGAAGCCATGTTTCTCCTAGGACCCAAAGGAGAGAGTGACCATGTCCCTCCACCTTAAAGAAACGTTTTTATTTGCAATGTCTTTTCCATTTGCCCTGCTTTGAGTAATGGAAGTTTTTAAAAACTCTTGTTTTTCTAAATATTAAGTTTTCAGAGGAAGGATATTTTTGAGTTCAAAATGCTTTTTAAAGTCTTTCATGGTTCTCTTGGTCTGGCATTCACTAGCAAGAACTTTTTAAACAGTATCCTGAGGGGAAGTTTAGTGGCTAAAAAGACCATTTCAAGCCAATATGGTTGGTGGGTAACGTGGAGCCCAAACTCCCTGCAAAGCCTTTGATTTTCATTGTGTTCTGGGTCCTGGGGAGGTCATCAGGGCCAGCCTACTGTTTTCAGAAAGGCTGCAGTTGAATATGCATGGGTTGGGGTTCACTGGGGCAAGCAGCCCAGAACCCCTCCACCCCCAGCCTCCCAACACCTCTGAGTTCCACCAATCTGACTTGGGCCTTGCAGGTGTTTGGACCAGAAGGCTGGGATTGCCCAGGACAGGAGGATTGCAGCAGCCATGCAATCCATCCCTAATTGACCAGGGCACCTAGGATTCCCTGACCCCTATGCAGGTGCTTTGGCTGTGTACCCAGAGAAGTTTCTGGAATCCAAAGCAAGCCATTGACCTCTCCTGACAAGGCTTTGTTTCCCATCCCTCAGATGCTCCAGTGTGTCTCTGGTCCCTCACACCTTCTTGCTGCAGAGTGTAATCCTAGTCTGGTATTGATTTCTAGTAATGGTGGTGTTTCCCAACAGGGTCTGTTGGCATGTGTGTGGGCAGTCCTCTGTCCTCTGGTCCTTTAGCAGTCCTGCTCAGCATGCCAAATTCTAGCAACCATCTTGTCATTAGGACAAGAACACACTCTCATCCCTGGGAGTGGAGTGGGGTGGGGTGCAGTACAACCTTTAAGCTGATGTGGGGGGTACCAGTCTCAGCCTAATGTGGGGGTAGTACCGGCTTCAGCCTGGGGGACAGTACCACTTTCAGCCTGGCAGCATGGGGGACGGGGGCAGTACCACATCCAGCTGAAAACCACTGAAACCCAGAGTTCTGAGCTGGACTCTGGAAGGCAGCGATCTCTCTTTCATCCTGAACCCCTGTACTCAGCACAGTTAGTGTCGGACTCATGGTGGAATGTTAATAAATATTTGTGGAACACATGAGTGGTGTTCACATTCATGGGGGGACCTTTGCACCCAATACAATTGCATGTACAACGTGCGTGTACGTGGTGTACATGCACATGCATTTGCTGGGCAAGATCCTATGGGAACCATCGCCTCTCTCTAAAGAAATTGTGATCTAATGGAATGGTCAGAAGACTGGTCCAGCTGTGACCACTGCTAGCCTGATGTTTTGGTTGCTGCAAACGTTGCTATACCATGTTTGTTAGGTGAATTTAGAACTATTGTTCGGTACTAGTATTTTAATATCCTCTTGGAAGCGAGCATCCTGAAAACTCCAGGGAAGAATGCACCCACGAGAGGCCTCGTCTTAAATGCATGGGCTGCATTTGATCTTAAACAAGAAATGGGCTGAATCCTCACCCTTGGACTCACTCACAGGAGAGTGGGCCAAAAATAAGGCAGGAATTGGGTATGCCTCTCTTCCCAACTAAGAAGTGTTTCCTGGATGACTTTCCCAAGAAGAGTCAAAGAAACCAGGGAGGCCCTCAGCATCCCCCACCCTGAGTTCACTCAGCAGCTGAGCAGAAGCTGGCTGAAATGAAAGATTGAGCAATTGCAACTTGCTTCCTTCCTGAGAGCCATCACTAATGCAGATGTTTTCATAAAAGACAATCAACACCCCAGGCTGGAAGAAGAGCTGGTCCACGTGGGTGGCTGAGCAGATGGGCCAAGTTCAGATACATCTGCAAGTGTGCAAAGGGTCATACTCACCTTGCAGCCCTGGGGAAGTCTAGCTTGGCCACAGGCAGTGGCTCTGAGTGAGGTCCAGGATGGAAGGGTGTGGAGGGTATTAACATAATTATGGCTCCTTCTTGATGCTTTCCTGGCATCTTCCTGCCTGTTCTGGAATGTTCCTGTCCCAATGAGAGAGACTATGACATGGCTATGGCATCCAGAAAGGACGACTGGCCAGGGGAGGGAACAAAATCAAGGGCTGGACCAGCCCTAGCGCTAAACTCTGGAACACTGAAGCATTTCAAGAAGTCCATGATACCATTTGCCCCAGAGGGATCATTCTATCTCCAGAAGCTTCCAGCATATAGACAAGCTCAGTCATGAGCCCAGATAATGCCCTTGGGTGAGACGGAGTCTCTGAGGAACCCCTGGTAGTCCAGAGCAGCCTTCTCCAACGTTAGCATGCCTAAAAAATCACCCGGAGAGCTTGTTAAATCACAGATTCCTGGACCACACTTCCAAGACTTGGCAAAGGCCTGGTAATTTTCATCTTAGATCACAGGTGCTGCTGGTGTGGGGACCACACTTTGAGAACTGCCAGAGGACTTCACACTGTGTTCTAGTGCGCCCCCTTGTGGGCAGTAGAGGGGACGAGAAAAGAAAGTGAATGGGACTCCACCTGCCACCAGGACATCTGCCAGTCTATTTTACAAATTTGGCTTCTGCCATTAATGACCCTCTAATAAAAAGAAGTGTGTGTATGGAGGGATCACTGGCCTGGAAGAGGTGGGTCCAGGCCTGCATTTGGGGTGCTCTGAAGAATGGAGCCTCCCCACCCTTCAATATGGATGTTTGGAGCAGGGTACAGGCTCTGCAGATAAGCCACAAAGATTCCACACAAACAAAACCTCAAATAACAAGCTAAGTGGGCAGAGTCGGGAGTTGGCCCAGCTCAGGGCAGCAGAGTAGCCATTTTCTGGCAGCCTTGGCCTTCCTGGAGTTCATCCACAGTCAGAGGGTCTACCTGAAGCTTGCAGCTTAGCTGCCATGGGGACCAGGCAGTGGCCTTGTCCTGGAGAGTTTTCCCAGCTCTGTCTGGATGTGTCCTTCATCCACCTGGCCCCGGGTCCTTCAGGAGCCTCATTACAACCACCTCATCCTCCAAAAACCAGCTTCCCTATAACAGCGTGCCCTCCTGCATCTTGGGATGGACAGTGGTGAGCCGGGTTAGAGCACAGCCCAGGAGTCAAAGTCTTAGGGTTGGATTTTTGCCTTCATTACTGCCAAGCTGAGAGACCTGGGGTGAGCCACCTCTCTGAGCCTCAATTTTCCTGTCTATATAATGGGGATAATTCTAACATAATACAGGAGCACTAAACACAGTTGCCCGTGTAAAGCTCTGAGCACGGTGCCTGACATGGAAGTGCTGGCTGGTTCTTACCAAGTCTTTTAATATTGTTTTCGTGTTTTGGATGAAGCAAGAGTGTGTCACTTGTGTTCATTTCTAGGGCTACTGTGACAAATGACCACAACCTGAGTGGCTTAAAGCAACTGGAATTTATTCTTTCACAATTCTGGGGCAAGAGTTCTGAAATCCCTCCTCAGCTCTGGGGAGGATCCATTCTGGCTCTCTCCTAGATTCTAGAATTGCCAGCAATCTGAGTCTTCCCTTGACTTACAGATGCATCACTCCCATCTCTGCCTCTGTCATCACATGGCCTCTGTCTGTGTCTGTCTGGATCCTCTTTTTATGGCCACCCTAATTGTGTGTGACCTCATGTTAACTTCATGACATCTGCAAAGACCCTATTTCCAAGTACAGGTCACATTCACAGGCCTGGGGTGGGAGAGGGGGCCAAGACTTTAATGTATCTTTTGGGACACCAATCAACTCACAACACTGTTGGACAGAGTAAGGCTGCAGGGCCTAGCAGTCAACAGGACCTGGGCTGTGGGTTTCCCCAGCCTTGGACTAAATCGTCCACAATGGTTGTGTTTTCCAGGGTGCTCAGACTTACATCTGTTGGATATGTTGACCCCAACTGAAAGGAAGCGACAAGGATATATCCATGAGCTCATTGTCACAGAAGAGAACTACGTGAATGACCTTCAGTTGGTTACAGAGGTAATGGCAGCTGTGGGTGGCTGAGGTGGCACTGCAGGAGGCTGGGAGAAGGGAAGGCCCTGCTGAGAAGAGAAGGCCTGTGTCCCGATTCTGAGTCTGGGACAATCTTTGATATGTGGGGACCATCTGGACAGCCAATGACAAAGATCTTAACTGAGAGGACACAGCCAAGTTCTTACCCACAGAGACGCAGAGCTCACTCATGCCAAGGAGTGCCCAAGTCCTGGAGGAGTTGGTAGAAGAGTGGGGATGGGGTGTGAGACTGTGAGTTGGGCTCCTGGATCCAGTCAGAGAAGTTGTAGGTCAGCCACCAACTTGTTGATGACGTACGGCCTGTCACATGACCTCCCGGGCCCTCGGTATTGGCATCTGAAAATGGCAGTCCATGGACTGATCACTTGAGTTATTCTTAGCGCTCCATAAACCTCCTAGATCTTCATAAGCCCCTGGCCTGGCATGGTGCCTCAACTGGCCTGTCCTCCCAGGTAGCCATTGAAAGGCCTCAGCCACCATGTCTGGAACACGGGGCAACACAGAGTTGAGTAGCCCTGCTTAAAAACCAGCCTTTTTCCACACACAGGTGGTTGCCTTATTAGGAAACAGGTTTGCAGTGCTGGACTTGAGGGTCACCTACAACTTGAAAAGTACTGTCATGGTTTGGAAGCCACCCCCCCAGCCCAAACATTGTGGAACCATCTAGTCTCATAGTCTTAGTGTCTGTGGGCTTACTAGTGTTGGAGGGATCCAGGATGGGTTGCTGGAGTCCAGAGACCACCATAAACAGCTGGAAGTGATGCAACTCCCAAAAAGGTGCCAGTTCTCAAGACATTTGACTGCTATTAAATGTCTAGGAGTGAATGTCACCTCCTTAGAAGCTGTCCCTGTGTGCAGTGCACAACTGTTTGTGACAGCCTGGACTCCCAGGGATCAACCACACCTGGCCAAGTTTAGTTCAAAGACAAGCTGTCCCTGTCCCCCAAAAAAACCTTCAGAAGGATTCCCTGCCCTAGACCTCCCTGGAGGTCAGGAGCTTAGCCATATGAGGCCCCACCAAGATCTGTGACTTACTGCTGGGCTCATCCACACAAAGCTTGGGAGGGGCTCATTTATTTGAGAGTACAGGAGAAGGGCAGGGTAACCGTCTTGTAACCAACCCCTGCATGAATTGGCTGTGTGTGGGCAGAGGGCAGAGGGCATCGAAGTCGGTCCTGCTGCTTCCCTGACAAGTGCCTGAGACTTGTCTGGGTGGCAGGTGAGAAGGAAGGAGCCACCCATACCCACGGGCCTCATCATACCCCTACTTGTCCCAATGGACCTTTTTCCTCCCAGTGGGCAGGTGAGACAGGCCCACCTGTCTGTGTAATGGACTGACTTCCTCACTTCTTATTGGTGGAGCTAAGTCCCATCCTCCAGAGACTCCACTGGCCTCCCTCCTTTGTCCCCTCCTGAGTGGGAGGGTGGGGTAGCGACCTTCCCTGCTGCCACACACCTCTTCAGGGAGGTGGTACCCAGGTCCAGTTACATATCCGAGGTCTCTCCCTTGCTCTACGCAGAGCGGTGAGTGTGTGCGTGTGTGAGTTTTGAGCTAACTGTTTGCTTTCTGAACTGCTTCGTTTTCTGCACCTGTAGATCTTTCAGAAACCCCTGATGGAATCTGAGCTGCTGACAGAAAAAGAGGTTGCTATGATTTTTGTTAACTGGAAGGAGCTGATTATGTGTAATATCAAACTACTGAAGTAAGCCTTTCTTCTCTAATTCCCAGCCTGGCCGCGCCTCCTCGGCTTACACACCAGCACCTCTGTGTGGTCCGTTTGTGTGTCCCTCATGCATGCCACCCTGTGTCACCTTCTGCCTCTTTTGCTCATTGCCACTGAAAGAACCATTGTCCTTTTGTGCCTTCATGCGTTCTGGAAACATGCTGCAGATTTCTCATGGTGGGCAGTAAATTACCAATTCCTGCTTTGATGGTGGTTCCAGAATTGCCAGATCTGGCAATGCTGGTTCTTGTTCCCTGACTGGCTCTGTCTTTGGTGCAGGGCAGCCCCCAACCCCAACACCTACCCCGGACCTGACTCCCAGGTGGGGAATGTCAGCTTCTTGAGGCTTCTTGGCTTCTGCAGAATAAGAAGAGTGTGAAATATTCTGGGTCTAGTGTGAGTTCGTCCTGCAGGGTGACTCTAGACAGCTGGCCTGGGGCCACTTACTTTTTATCCCCACTTTACTTTACAGAGGCAGCTTGGGCCAGGAATCCAGGGACCTGGGCTGGGATGTACCTCACAGTTCTGCCACTTTGAGCCTCAGTTTCCCCACCTGTAAAATGAGCATTAGATTATCATAAGGGTCTCATCCAATTAAAACAAAAAATCAAAACTCAAAATCTCTGGCACCAGGCCTCATTACAACATCACTTGCTAGAATGCAGATTAAGCCCTGGGCTCCACAGCCAGGAGCAAGGGCTGCCCTGGCCTGAAAGTTTCCGTGCAGTCCTCATCTCTATGTTCAGGTCACTGGGAAGCTGCTAATTCTAAATATGGTCTGTCTTTTTTTTATCTTTTTTTCTTTGTGGTCCCTGTCTTGTTCTCATAAAGTAATTTGAGGTCTCCACTTTCTTGGCCGTGTGCTAGAAAGGAGAACATGAAGGAAGGAATTGAATGTCTGTCTGTGCTCTAGGAGACAGATCAGCACAGATGGCCCCAGGCAAGCATTGAAAGTCTTTCCTGTGCCCTCTGGGAGGATGCTGTAGAAGCATTCCCCCGTATAGGGTGGGTGTCATACTCCAGGTTCGTATCTCACTGTTGCCTCTGGCTATGTGTCTTTGGGCAGCTGGCTTACAGTCCCTTGGCCTGTAGAGATTTTATTTGTCTATTTTCTGTTGCTATAACAAAAAACCCGAGTCTGGATTCTTTATAAATAAAGAAAAGAGGCTTATTTAGCTCATACTTTTAGAGGCTGAGCGCCCAACATTGAGCAGCCCCATTTATTCCGCCTTTGGTTGAAGGTCTCATGATGGCAGGAATGTGTGTGGGAGAGAAATTCAGGGGTCAGGCCTGTTCTTTTACAACAACTTGCCCTTCAGTGAGTTAACCAGGGTCCTGTAAGAGCTACATTAATCCCTTCCAAGGGCCATGCTCCTAATGACCTTGTATGAGGCCCCACCTCTTAAAGGTCCAGCACCACAGTGGGGACCAGGCTTCCAGCACATGAGCCTTTGGGGCCGTGTTCAAGCCATAGCATGACAGGGCCTGTGATTCCATCTCCCACAGGCCTCTGAGCAACACGCGCCTGTGCACAGTAAGTGCGGGCCTTGGGCCCTGGGCCTGTGGTAGAAGCTAAGGACTCACCCCATGGAAGCTGCCCTGTCACCTGGGCAGAAAGGGTCAGTTAGCCCTGAACCTACAAGTACCAAACCTTACGTGCTAGACACACAGGGTTTGCAAACAGACACAGAGTTTGCTGTTAAGCTCTTTGAGTAGCTATAGTGGGGGTGGGAGGTGTCTGATGTGCCCAAGTATCCCTTAGAAAGGCCAGCACCCTGCCACATGCCAGTCAGGGTTGGCCATTGGCTCCCCACTTCTTTCCATCGCCTGTTAGCTCTGACCTGCCTCGAGGCCTGAGGTGGGACCTGAGAGTACCGGACAACTGGGAAATCCAAGCTCAGAGGTTGAGTGATTTGCCTCAAGTCACATGGCAGGGAGACTGCTTTGTGCATGATGCCAAGGCCCAGGAACTAGGGGTTCCACTCAGTCTGTCCCCCATGGAAAGAACATGGAGCCAGGAGTCAGATGTCCCCAGCATCTTCAGTCTTGTTTTGGGCAGCTTCGTTGGGCAGGTGACTCTCCTATCCTTTGATTACAGTCATGATACTCCTCCTGTCTACCACGCAGGTCATTCTGAGGAGCCAGGGGATCTGTGTACAGCTGGCACGTTGTCAATCGTGGGGTGAATGTACCTGCTGCCCTACCCCCTCCCCCACCCCAAGAATCCTGTTCTCCCCCTGCTCCTCGGATTACCTGATTAACTAGTTTGGGCAACCTGGCTATGATCCTCGGCTTCCAGATAAAATAGTTGTATTTAACAGGAGCTTCCTGGGAATCTGATTTCCTTTTCTTCTTTCCAACATTTTATCATGAACAATTCCAAACTTACAGAGAACTTGAAAGAGCTCTCGAGCGAACACCATGTCATAAACCAGACAGTGAGCATTTTGTTTTATCCCCTTGGCCGCACACACCTAATTTCTTCATGCAAGTGAACAACCTTTACGTTGGGGCCTGGAGGACTCCTGGCAGGCTGGAAGAGAAGCCAGTGGGACAGAGAATTTAAGCTGTGATCCCTGGGCTGCCACCACAGGACTGATCATATTGCCTTTCCTGATCCAAGGATGGAAATACACCCCTTGTGTTTAGGGGACATAGGATTTGTTACACAAATAAATAGTGAACTTTTCTTGGTTTTTTTGTGGTACTGGGGATTGAACTCAGGGCCTCATGCATGCGAGGCAAACACTAAACCACTGAGCTATATCCCCAGCCTGAACTTTTCTTCAGTGGTACTGAGGTTTGAACTCAGGGCCTCTTGCTTGTGAGGCAAGTGATTTACCACTTGAGCCACACCCCAAGTCATTTTTGCTTTAGTCTGTTTTTCAGATAGGGTCTTGCTTTTGCCTAGGCTGGCCTTAGACATTTGCCTCCCATGAAGCTGGGACTACAGGTGTGTACCATGATGCCCAGCCCTAAATAATGAATTTTTAAATAAAAATAGAAGGAGGCTAGCTGTGATGTATGGACTTCCTACTAATGATGCCTCTGGCTGGAGGTAAGAGCAAAAGGTTGGCTCCCTTACTGGTGAGTTGAAAACTGAGAAATGTGCCTTTGATAAGAGGGCAAACAGAAACATCTAGAACCTTTTTATATAATAGCCTTATGTTAGAATCATATACCACACCGCTCTGTCCCATCATTGATCCACCCACCCACCACCCTCTGTGATCACAAGGGCGGTGGTGCACACTCGTGGCCTTGCGTGTTATGGCCCTGCCCTTGCCTGTAGAAAATCACTTCTTCCATGTGTGTGCTAAGAGGTCACATTTTATTTTTTATTTATTTTTGTTTTTGAAGAGTTCACATTTTAGAAGAGTTGGAAGGATGGAAGTACAGTCCTGGCTGTTATCACCTTGAGCACTCACACGGCAGGTGGAACCCAGAACAAACACTCCCCATTCCTCCAGTGCCTCCATTCAGCTTCTAGGAATAAACTGCTTGGGTTCGCTGGCTTGTTGTCAGAGAAAAGACTTCTCTTTTAGAAACTCTTAATGTAGTCAGCTTCAAATTAGCCATGGCAGTGAAGCAGTGGAAGTTCAAATGATCATTTACACTTGGCTTTGGCAAACATACTGGAATTATTTTTTGTGGCAATTGACTTACCATCTTCATTGTGTTCTGGTTAGTTTGAAAGTGAGCCTCCCCAGCCTTTGGTGACAGCGATTTCCCTTGGGTAGTCACTCAGTTCTCAGACCACACCAGCCTGGGCCATCACAGATAATCCCTGAAGTGAGACACTCACCCAGCAGTCTTGTCTGATTTTTTTTTCTTTCTAAATTTTTAAGAAACAGATGCTATATTTCTCCACGAGAAAAAAAAATTGTGGCCAACAGCCACTGTGCCAAAGAAAACTGACCTGGTGATGCCTCTCTGTAGCACTAGTCTCATTTCTTTCTCTGTTCCTTGTCTCCCAAATAGATGTTTTAGTGGCCCTCGGGTCTGTGCCCCTCACACACGTTCCATTTCTGTAGAACCTAGAAGCGGGCCGCGGTGCTGTCGGGCAGCGTGAAGGTGGCACTCACCTCCCGTGTTTCCATGCAGAGCGCTGAGAGTCCGCAAGAAGATGTCTGGGGAGAAGATGCCCGTGAAGATGATCGGTGACATCCTGAGCGCCCAGCTGCCACACATGCAGCCCTACATCCGCTTCTGCAGCTGCCAGCTCAACGGGGCTGCCCTGATCCAGCAGAAGACAGACGAGGCCCCAGACTTCAAGGAGTTTGTCAAAGTAAGGAGCCAAGGCCACAGGGAGACCCTGGGTGGTGATCTTTGGGCAGCTGGCTGTGTGAGAGACTCAACAAAAGTCTGAAAGCATCTGTCCACTGAAGGCCAGAAGGAATTAAAGTCTTGGCTAAGCAGTAGGGGACTGTCACTAGCAGGCAGGTGTGGCTGTCACAAAAGGGTGTATTTGGAGAGGAGGGGCCAGCCCTGAGCCTGAAAGCTTTGAAGAGTCTTTGAACCAATGTTAGTGGTGGTTTTGGAGGCATGTCTAAATCTTGCATCTCATTTGCCTTGGGCTCAGGTTCCCCTTCTGTTTAACTTCAGCATCCTCTGTTCTTTTCTTGGTCTCTGTCCTCCATCTGCAGTGGGAATGGCCAGATGTCTCCACGGCCCTAGGCTTAAGCTCTGGGAAGCCCATGGGAATCTACCTGGCCCTGTCCTGAGCCTGTGTCCCCAGAACTTAGAGTTGGCCAGGGTGGATCCCTGTTGATCACACTGGACACTCAAACAGGCCCCTTCTCTCCCAGGGAAAAAATAGGAAGAGAATAAAATAACTTTTGTTAAAACAGTATAGTTGAGTGAATAAACAACAAATTAATAGTAACGATAACAGGCATGTCTTTGTAACTCAGGCATTTGGGGGGTAGGCTATTCTCAGCTCCCCAAGAATTGTGTTTGTTGACTCATCATCCTGAGGTGTAACTGTGGCTTCTTTTTTGGCTATAACCTCACATAAACTCATTATTTTTCTTCCTCTTCTGGTGTTCATTGACATTACGTACCGAGATTTGCTAGCCAGTGAATGAGGCTTTCTGAGGTCATTCAAAGACGAAAAAGATGGCTAAGAAGTAGGCCAAGGGTGAGATGAAGACCGGAGGGCAGATGCTGGGCTGCCAACACCACAGGCCTGCAGTTCCAGCCAAGGGTCCAGTGTCTGGTCATAGGCAAGATGAGGTCATCACTGAATGCACTTGTAGTCCCTCCCCTCCCCTCTCTTCTTCCCCTCTCCCTGCCTCACCAGCAGGAGTTTGGCATGCCTTTGCCTCCTATGAGGTGTTCTTAGTATGAAGATGTCCATGGCTGGACATCAAGCCCAGAGGCTGACAGTCTTCAGGTGTCCAGGCTCCAGGTCGTAGCAGCTGCCTGTGTCTAAGGTCTTAAACTAGACTTGAGCCTTTGAGAGGTAGATCACAGTATAATCCCTGTGACCTGCAGACCAGGCTCTCCTTTTGGGGCTAAAAGGACTGTTATCCAGTAGAGGGATTGACAGCACTGGCAAAAGTGGTGGGAGGAAACAGGCAAGGAAGGGTGGAGATCAGCCGGGGGCCCTGAGGATGGAGGCTTGGCTGCCAAATTTCAGCTCCACTTTTCTAGCCTTGCCTGGAGCTCCCAGAGGCATGTTCTGGCTCCTGCCAAAATTGGACAATGAGAATCAGCCTTTCTGGCATCCCCAGGACTTAAGGAGAATTTTTACTCTGATTGTGTAGTCTTGTGACTCTTCCTGGTCCCTGGGATGTTATAAAGTTTTTTTAGACATCTGGAAGAAATATTCTCTGTAAAGCCAGAATGTCTTTGCTGTGACTAAGGAGTCATGTGTCCCTTGGGAGGCTTTTTGAGTCTGGAGAGTGGGGTACCCCCTGGTGGTTGGGTCACATCTGGAGGTCTCCCATTCTCCCTCTGGAAATTGTCTCACCCTGGACTGTCCTAACTGAACTATCATAACTGCACATACCCTTCCTCAGTTATTGTCCAGATGAATGGGATAATGGGTGGGGATCTTAAATAACACTAGTGTTGATATCACTGACTTTGGATTTTTCAGATTTCTTAAGTATATATTTTTAAAATCTCTTATTTCAGAGATTGGCAATGGACCCTCGGTGTAAAGGGATGCCCCTGTCTAGTTTTATACTGAAGCCTATGCAGCGAGTAACAAGATACCCACTGATCATTAAAAATGTAAGTACCCGGTGCCTTTTCAAGTGGAGGAATGCTTTCCCAGTATCAAAGGGGGCTGGAGGCCCGGGCAGGTTCCCAGCTGACACACCTGGCAGCCTTTTATAGAGATCGTGTGTCAGAAGTTGCTGGGCCATCTGCTTGGTAACTTGGGGGAAAACTGGTTTAGCGTGAAAAGAACTGCTACTGCACAGCCTTAAGATATGAAACCAAATGGCTTCTTAGACGAAATGAGAGCTCAGTTCTCGATGCTTTTCCTAAAACAAGGCACAGTGCCTCTACACCCTGATTTTTATTCCCAGCAAAGGGAGAAAGAAACACGATTCCTGCCTCCATCTTCAGAAGGCCATTGTGCGAGTCTCCATGCTGATGTTAGACAATTGTTTTTCTCTTGTCACTTCAAGAAAGCCAATACCAAAAGAGGGGATCAAAGTTAAGGCTTCGGTGTCCCCATCTGTAAAATGAGTGGGCAGACTTAGATGTCCTCAGAGGATATAATTGCAGGAAGTGCAGATCCTAGGGAGAGGTTTGGATGTGGTTCCTTTTTCGTTTTTTTGTTTGTTTTTGTTTTTGTGGTACTGGGGCTTGAATTCAGGGCCTTCACTTTGAGCCACTGCGCCAGCCCAATTTTTGTGATAGGGTCTCGCGAACTATTTGCCTAGGCTGACTTCGAACTGCAATCCTCCTAAATAGCTAGGATTACAGGCTTGAGCCTCTGGTGCCTGGCTCCTTTTAATGGAGAGTGTGTTTAGTAACTCAGATCTGGCACCAGTGTGTCACTGGGCCAACTAGTGGCCACACGGGGAAACACATGCACGTGTATTCATAACTACATACTTACCTATGCATACGTACACACGTGCATATATGCTTGTTTCTGGATCAGTTTAAGTATTTATATTAAAACTCATGAATTCATATGGACATGGACATCTCCCATTCTAATCCAACACCACAGAATATACTCCAGCCCTCCCCTAGATATGAACTGTGAGAAACCTGGCTCTCTCTCATTAGCCTTAATATGTGAACTCAGCTGCTCAGTCAGTCTCCTTTTATGATGCAAGTCTTCCTTCCACATAAACCATCTCCTCAGCCCAGCTCCAGCTCCATCCCCCGCCCCCCTCCCTCTATATATAGGGGCACTTTGGCTAAATTAACTCCTTTTAGAAGCTTCTTTCAGTCTACTGTTTCCTCCCTACCAACTCCATACTTGCTATTTAATTAGCTCCATGCTTCTCTTTACCACTCCCAACCAAGGTTTTTAACTGCAAATTGAAGTTGGAAACAAGGTTTTTTTTTTATTATTATTGTTTTATTATTCATATGTGCATACAAGGCTTGGGTCATTTCTCCACCCTGCCCCCACCCCCTCCCTTACCACCCACCCCGCCCCCTCCCTCTCCTCCCCACCCCCTCGATACCCAGCAGAAACTATTTTGCCCTTATCTCTAATTTTGTTGAAGAGAAAGTATAAGCAATAATAGGAAGGAACAAGTGTTTTTGCTAGTTAAGATAAGGATAGCTATACAGGGAGTTGACTTGCATTGATTTCCTGTGCATGTGTGTTACCTTCTGGGTTAATTCTTCTTTTTTTTTTTTTGCTGGGTGGGGGTACATTGTGGAATCACTAGCCCTTTTTTTTGTGTTGGGTTTTTTTTGAGATAGGGTCTCTCGAACTATTTGTCCGGGCTGGCTTCAAACCTGATCTCTGCTTCCTGAGTGGCTAGGATTACAGGCGTGAGCCACAAGTGCCCGGCACTATTGGTAATTATTGATAGTAACAATAGGTAACATTTATTGAAGTTTAAAATGTGTCAGGCACGATGCGGGACAGTTTTTCTTATGCTCATTGTATGTTCCTCCCACAATCCAGTGAGATGGGTGTCATTCTGCCCATTTTACAGAACAAAGCACTGCACAGAGTAACACAGCTAGTGAGACATGGGCCTGAGATTTCAAACCATGCCACCAAAAGCCACATTCCCTACCACTGTGCTAGGCAGGCTAGCCTCTCCAAACTGGCAAAACTAAATTGGAATATTTAGGGAAAGGCTCATGTGCTTCTAACTATTTGTGAGCCAGAGAAGACAGAAATGCCACCATGAGCGGCTCTGTGAGCTGATGGAAATCCTGGCCAGCTCAGAAATACCCTTTTGCCCTCCTCCACACAAAGTCATTAGAAACGTGGTCTTTGAAGTCACGGGCAAGTCACAACTGAGTCCCTAGTGGCAGCTTTCCCCAGGCCTGACCTGGAGGGTTGGGAGGAGGAAGAGCTGGGTTAATTCTTTTTGATCTAACCTTTTCTCTAGTTCCTGGTCCCTTCTCTTATTGGCCTCAGTTGCTTTTAAGGTATCTGCTTTAGTTTCTCTGCGTTAAGGGCAACAAATGCTAGCTAATTTTTTAGGTGTCTTACCTATCCTCACCCCTCCCTGTGTGCTCTCGCTTTTATCATGTGCTCAAAGTCCAATTCCCTTGTTGTGGGAAACAAGGTTTTAAAATAGGTGTTCTAGATCTAACTGGGGGTGGGGAGTAAAACAAAAGCAAGAAAAGAACTGAGAAGCATAAATATTAAAAAGGAAAAAAAAATTATTTGCAGAAACAAGATTTCTGCCTTCCAGAGCCATACTAGAGAAAGAATTGAGAGTTCACTCAATTCAACCAGGAAGAGAGTTGGAAGTGATAGCAAATTATAAGATGCATACAAAAATGACAATACTAAGACAATATTTTTGTAATAGTGAGATGGAGGAAGTCTTAGCAGTGTATCAAAGACAGAACTTTAAAGGTCTTGGAATCATAGCAACCTAGCAGATAGTTTGATTCTGGAGAAGAACCATATGTTCATAAAGGAAGTGTGTAAATAAACTACACTATATATGTATTATGAAGATATTTTAAAAGCTAGGAAATAATTTCTGTTGTACTATTAACATGGAAAGTTGTCAGTCTTTCAAATGATCTTATAAAAGATGGGCTATTATCCGTGTTTCCCAAACGAGGAAACTGAGATCTGGAACCTTTATATAACCAAGGCAAATTGTGGCAGGCCAGTGACAGAGCAGGAATTTTAAGCTAGGAGGTTAAATTCAACTGACATTTTTTTTGTGTTTGTGGTACTGGGATTTGAGCTCAGGGCTTTGTGCTTGCTGGGCAGGCATTCTACCACTTGAGCCATGCCTCCAGCCCTTTTTCCTCTGGTTATTTTGAAAATAAGATTTTGCTTTTTGCCAAGGCCAGTCTGGACTGCCATCTCCTATTTTATGCATCCCACTGTAGCTGGGATGACAGGTGTATGCCACCATGCTGGGTTTTTTTCCACTGAGATGGTGTCTGATGAATTTTTATTGCCTGGACTGGCCTGAAACTGTGACCTATCTAGGCTTCCCTTGTAGCTTGGGGTGACAGGTGCACACCACCACACCAGCTTCAACTGTTATTCCTAACCACCACCTTGAAAGGATCTACTCAGAAATTCAAACATTTGCTGCAATGCAGTTCCAGAGATGCATGGGGGCCCACAGTTGGCATGGACCTGGGAAAGAGCTGTGCTCTAGGAGACATCTGTGCTGGGTACCACTGTCCCTTCTTCAGCCACTGTGCTCCTCACATCCTGAGCTTCAGCTAAGCATAAAGATTGTGGTGCCTCTCCCACCCTACCTAAGGGTACCCTGACCACTCTTAGGCTTTCACAATGAGTTGATGTGACACTGTTCAGATCAAATACAAGAATTTCATCCTAAGTTCCTTCAGGTCAGTGAGCAGTTGAGAAAAGAGCAGTAACTGTTGCTGGCTGAGCTGGTTGGCTTCTGAGCCTGGTCACTGGGCTGAATTTCTTTCTCTGTGAAATAGGGTGAAGATTTTCAAAGATAGACTCTAAGGCCCTTTGAGCTCCATGGTTCTATGTGCCATCCTGGATCCTAGGAGTTTGCCAATGTGGTTTAGCATTCACCCTGGGAAAGGTCATCATTTTGCAGGACAGGTCACACAGCTTGTCCTGGGAACATACAAGGGTGTGGGTCTGAGCCATCAATTGCCTCCTGGTTGGAATCTTAGCTCTCACTGAATCTATGAAGAGGAGGGGACCCCACAAGGCCACTCACTGGAGCCAACAAGGAGTGGTCATCACACTCCATGTCATTTCCATGGTGGGCACCCAGAGCTATGGTTGCTAAGGTAAGCACCATTCAAGAAAGATTTTGCTCTGCCTCTGTGGGTTGAGTCCTCCAGAGCCCCAGGCCCACCCATGTTACCTCAAAGAGTGTCCTGACAAGGGGGTTTATGTCTTCTATTCTCTGGTGTAGATTCTGGAAAACACTCCTGAAAACCACCCTGATCACAGCCACTTGAAGCATGCCCTAGAGAAGGCAGAAGAGCTGTGCTCCCAGGTGAATGAGGGGGTACGCGAGAAGGAGAACTCCGACCGGCTGGAGTGGATCCAAGCCCACGTGCAGTGTGAAGGCCTGTCTGAGGTAGCTGCCTGTGGGGTGGGACCTGGGCCTCCTTTGATTGAGCCTCCACAGCCAGCATGAAAGAGGACAGGAAAAATTATGAGCCATCTTCCTCTTCAGCTTCCTAATTCTCTCTTCAATTGCTTTTCATCTGCCTCTTAATCCACCCTTTGTGTTTTTTATTTTGATCATATTATTTTCCATTTCCAGCAGTTCTGTTTATGTTCTCCATTCTGCTAGTTTCTTTTTGTGTCTTTGCTCCTTGCTCAAGTATTCATTCATTTCTCAACAAATTTTAAACATATTTCTGCATACTCCAAATCTGATTGTCACTAAACCTAGTCATGGATCTTATTCTTTTGTCTGTTGCTTCTGCTAACTTTTGCTAGTCATGCCTTATTTTTCTATATGTAATTGTGATTTTTTTTTCTTCCTGTGCTAGAGATTGAATCATGCATGCTAGCTAGACCCTCTACTACTGTGACTCCTACACTCAAGGAGCTTATGGTCCTGGAGTAATGTGATGAACAATAAGGCAGAGCTAGGTGGAGGAAGGGACAGCCATGGGGATGTTCAAGGAGGCATTGAACACTTTCCTGAACTGAAAAGATGAAGATCTCTCTCCAGTAAGGAATCCAGGCCCAGGCATTGTGAGTGGAGAGCCCAGCCTGCACAGGGTGGCAGTGTGGACACAGAGGGACAATAGACCACAAGGGTTTAGGGCAAGTGGAGGCCAGGCTAAGCAAGGCCTGTGTATTCATCAAGGGAACATTGCCTTGAGGCTGCAGACAGTGGACCTGAACAGCCCTGACTCTGCCAGGCAGAAATGCTGTGGTGGCAGCATGCACTTTAGAAAGTCTGGCTGCTTAAATCAGAGGGGTTCAGGGGCCTGGGTCTTCATCTTAGGATGTTAAGAAGAAAGTGAATTATTTTCATTGCTTTTATACTCCTTTGAAACCATAATATTGTCCTTCTTTATTGATTGGTCTTTCCTAGCTTTTGTATCCCAGCTTACTATTGACTTTATGGCAGGAAGGGAAGGAGTTGGCTTCTGTTTTCTGTCTCATGAACACAGTGTAGACCATGTATAATTCAAAGCTGGATACACACCAGTGATTAAGTTTCAAATAAGTGCAGTGTCTGGCATTCTCAACCCCAAACAGAGTAATGTAATGATTCCTAATTCATCTTTAGTCAATGTTTGCCTTGTCAACTGGGGGCTGTAAATGTTGAGTATGAATAATGACATCAGCTTTGAAGACATTGGATCCAGTGACACTTGCCTTGTTTGGACTCATTGCCCCCAAGTGGCTTGAACTCTCTCTTGGCAAGCAAGAAGAGCTAGGTAGAATTGAAGGCTCCTGTTAAGAATAGAAGGGGTGAAGAATATTCTTTGAAGACTCCTATTGGGGTATCGCCTTCAGTCTTTCAGTATTGCTTGGACCCTCAGGGGGAGGTAAGAGACTGTCCTTCCTCCTTGGACCTAAGAATGGAGCAGAGTGGTCACTGTCATTGTCACTTATAGCTCTCTGGTCACTGACTCACCACCAAATCTTTCTCCCATGTTGGAGGTGGACAGGTGCCACCTGCATCTCTTGGGGTGATATTTGTTGTGAGCTCCATTGCTCCTTCACAAGTACTCTCCTCAGAGAGGTCTATAGATCTCATAGCTCTGGAGAGAAACTTGGCCTTGAAGACTGGTGAATGGACCATATCCTGGGCAGATGTGTGGGCAGGTGGAAATCATCTGCCTGGACCATCTCACTGCCTGGCACACAGCTATAGCCTTGCCTTCCTCCATTTCTCCCCTTCTGTCAAAAAAAGGGGGACTTTGTGGGGTCATCTCCACCCCAGGCCCCCTCTACCTCGTCAGAACCTTCTGGCATGAGATGATAGCCCCTAGGGAAATGTTGGAGCCACATGTCAACACTCATAAGCCATCCCTAACAGTTGGTGAGTGGCAGATAGAAAGCCATCCACCTCACATTTTCAAAATGAATCTGTTGGGTAGGAATCAGTGTGCACAAGACAGTGCCTGTTGTGCTTGGCCTTGAAGGGTCATTAAGCACCACTGGATTTTGCAGTTTGCCCACATGCTAGACGTCTGGACTGCAGTTGTGCTTGGGAAAGTAGCATTTATCCCATGATTTTGTACAGAGAGAGTCCCTGCTGCTTTCCAGAACACTAGGGGCTGTTTGAGTCTATGCAGGACCTACTTGGTGGATCTGGTTCCCACCACTGCAGGGCAGCCCCTTGCACCGAGGAGGCAATCATCTTGGAAACTAGTGGGCACTTTTCTTCCTGCTATCCCATTTCTCCAATAAATAAAAGGGAGAAACACACCCTAAGATTGGCACAAATCCCTTGGGAAGTTATAATGGAGACTTGACATTTGGAATCCCCAGAATCATGCCTTTGACTTTGACCTTATAGCTCCAAAAGGCACTGCTGGAAGGCTTCAGAGGCATCTTTGATTTGTGCCTTAGATACTGGCCTGCTAGAGCTTGGCCTTAGATTCTGATGGAACCCTTGTTTTCAGATGGAGAGACACAAAAATTAAAACATGACCTTCCTTCATCCTGTCTTCTTTGGGTTTGTTTTCCTTTCTCAGCAACTGGTGTTCAATTCAGTGACCAATTGCTTGGGGCCACGCAAGTTTCTTCACAGTGGGAAGCTCTACAAGGCCAAGAGCAACAAGGAGCTGTATGGTTTCCTTTTCAACGACTTCCTTCTGCTGACCCAAATCACGAAGCCTTTGGGCTCTTCTGGCACCGATAAAGTCTTCAGCCCCAAATCTAACCTGCAGTATAAAATGTATAAAACAGTAAGTTCCATTGGAGATGGCTATAGCAGGGTTGCTGTGTTTGGGGAGGAAGGCATATCCAGAAGGAGTCCAGTTTTTAGCAGAGTTTGGGGCTGTGGTGTGGAGGAGAAGGTAAGGGGAATGAGGCAGGATTTAGGGTAACTGGAGTAGAGGACTATCTGTGTCCCACTGCAGTCCTGAAAACATGCAATTCCATTGGCGAAGCATTCATCAGCCTCCAAATCACACTGTGCCTATAGGAGCTCACAGCCCAGTGTAGGTGAGGCAGGGACAGACAGCTTTACAGCAGAGATACCAAGCTTCATCCACCCAAGCATGCACGGCCAGCTTCCACACCATCCCAATCCCCCACCAAGCTCTCGTGGTAGCTGAAACATCTGTGTCTACCCTTTCCTGGCAGTCAAGGTGGGCAGAATTTCCCTAAGCTATGTATTTGGTCTGCTCATATATCATAGCTTCATCTGTGTGTCTCTGTGCCGTGGGATATTGTTCTTCTAAATTTGTCTTTGTGGGTGTTTTTACTGAAGATTTTTCTCAGACGCAGCAGTTAGCTTTATTTGGGGAGAAAGAGCACTGTGTTTTTGTAGACTGTTACTAGAAACTGTTAGGAAAAATGCCGCTCACAAAGAAAGCTCATGAGAAAAGTCTCATGTCCACAGAGCAAAGTTTAATGGAAGGCCCAAACTGCTAGGCTAGCTGGGGAAAAGATGGCCCAGCAGCGATTCTGGGCCAGGTGTGGCTTTTATAGAAGGGGGAGGTTAAGGAAGTTAGTGCATGTGCGGTAGTCTCTGGTAGGGGTGGGGCTGTCTTAGAGCACGGGAATTTCTGTTCAGTGCGGGGCTGTCCTTGGAAGTTTCTCAAGTGAGGTCTGATAAAATGGCCACCAATTTATAAATGGTGACATTATTGTTCTATTATTCCCCCATTTTTTTCCTTTAATAATGATGAGGGTAGGGCTGAGGATCAGGAATTGGGGTGAAGCATCAGTCTCTTTAGCTGCTTCCTGCTGGCAGGGGGTGCTGTATGGGGCAAGATTCTCAGACTCCTGCATCCTGGTGGGGGCCCTCATAGCAGTCCTCTGGACAGTTTTGGAGAGGTTGATATTTCTGGAGGTGTAACTGGTTAAACTTTTGATTAGCAATAGCAGACACGTGGTTTAAAAGAAATCTTTGTATGGTTTTTATGATAAAAGGGAGGAAGCTTAAGAATATGAGAGCAAGAAATATGGCATTAGGATGGGCATTGGCCAGGAGAACCACTGTGAAATGTTATTCCCTAGAGGATTCCAAGAGTCCGTTCCTTAAGAGGTGCTGCCATTGGGGGATCCCATTGAGCTTGACAGCAGTGGGTGTTGTAAGAATGACCAGATGAGGGCTGGTCCACCAAAGTCCCAATGGAGAGGTAGAAGATCCTTTAGGAGAACAAGATCCCCTGGTTTAACAGAAATTGTTATAGGGTGGGGTAGGATCTGGTCAGCGTGCTCTCTGAGAAGTTCCCTGAGAAGGTTAAGATAAGGTAGGTAGTCAACCAGAGAAGAGTCTGTTGGAGGCAAGTTTTCTAAGAGAAATGGGTGGCCATATATTATTTAAGACCCAAATAGGAATATTAGGAGGAGCATAAAAAGGTGTCTGCTAAGGGACTGCATATCTAGGGATACAGATTCTGCAAAATCCTGTAACTTCCAAGAAAGCTCTAAGCTGCCTTATGGTATGGGGTGGGGAGGGAAACAGAAGATTGGGTTGATTCACTCATGACTCAGGGAGTGAGTCTGTTCCTTTAAGGCCACACCTAGGTAGGTGACCTGTGGGAGGCAGGGGCTGTCAGGATTTAAATGTAACACTCTTGGATTAAAGAGAGCTCTAGCTCATTTTTATGTAACTTTGTAAATGTTTGTACCATATTTAGATAAAGTATAGATACTACAGTGTTACAAGATGGTCATTTAAGACACATAAGCAAATATGTAAATGAACTCTGATTTAGTAGTACTTAAAGCTTGACAAGATCAGCAGAAAACACAAATAATTTCTTTGATAAAGTCTTTCTCTGTAATGGTTTTTTGTAGCTGTTATTCAGAGCAGAACAATATTAAGATAACCTTGTTATTTTATAGACATAGAGAATTTGATTTTAATTTGACATGACCCTAAAAATCTTTTAGGCAACTCTTAGATTACTCAACTTTAACTTTATCACACACCGAAGCTTTTTATTATACACTTTTAAAACTTACTCAGACCTTTATATAACATACTAAACCCTTTGATGGCTTGTCCTAATCCATCCTATTTCAAACCATCTTTAGGACAAACCCTTCTTTACAGAATCCTTTCTCATCCAAAAAAACCATTCCTTTTTTCCTTTAACTTCTCAAAAAATACATTCATTACCTATCTATATCCTTCCAGTTGTTTACTTTGTAACTTGTATTTAAAAATTAACTTTTATAAGAATTTTGAATTTATTATAGGGGCTGAAGCAACTAATTAGTAGCCCTTGTTGTTTTAAGGAATTGATAATAGTCATAAGGCCTCATCTTCCCTCAGGCTTGAGGGGATGTTGTTTTGGGTGTGGAAACTGTGAGGGATTTTTGAGTTTTATTTGAATAGGGAGGGCTGTCCTGGCTCACACTACACTCATCCCATCAGTCCACACTGTGGAATCTATTTGTTCCTGAAGGAGGGGTCAGCAGAGAAAGCTACCTGAGGGGAGGAGAATTTGAGCTTTTAGTTGAGATAGTAAATCTCATCCAAGCAGGGACACTGGAGTTTCAGGTACTATGAGGAAAGAATGACAGAAGAGGAGGTCTCCCCAAGAGCAGATCAGAGGCCGGATAAATTGCACTCTAGGGGCTGGCCAGATTTGCCCCAAACGATAACTGTTGTCATTGGGCCGGGGACCTAGAGAGAAAGGTAAGACAGAGAAATGAGCTCCACTGTCTAGCCGGAAAATGATCTTTTGGGTTTTTTTTGCCATCATGGCTACCATGAGGCTCCTCAACATTGATGCCAAGAAGTGGAGCATGGACAGGGGGCTGGGACCCATCAATCCATAGGAGGTGGCACCTCGCCTTCTATATGGAGATGGGGGGCACTTAGACTTCCAGTGGTTACCCTTGCAGGGTCCTGGTTGGGGGCGGAGCTGTCTCCTGGGCTGTCCCCCCTTAAGCATTCTCTGCAGAAGTGCCCCTCCTGTCCACCATGGTAGCAAACTCGAGATGTAGGCCCCAGTTGGGTGGGAGCAGCAATGAGGCCATGGTGTCTCTTATCTTTTTCTCTCCTGTTAGTAAGGTCCTGGACATACAGACATAGCTATAAACACAAACATGGCTAGCTGTATTACTTGGTTCAATGACTTTTTCCCTTCAGCCACAGACTGAGTTTTCTACAAATATCTGGGGCTGACTGTGTTAGAAATTTATCTTTGAGGAGAACCTCTCTCACCTGTGACTCTGGGTCCATTGTGGTATGTTTTCTGATAGAATCCTTAAGATGCTATAGAAAGATAAGGGGATTTTCTTCAGAGCGTTGCTATAAAGCAAAGTTGTTATTTCACACTGACACTTGATACTCTGGAGAGCAGGTCTCTGAACTGTTCTGGGCCTCAGTTTCCTCACCTGAAGAATGAGGGATCTGGTCTAGGTTAAACTACTGTCTTCCACTATGAGATGGCTGAAGTGACATTAACACCATTTATCTTTCTTATCTTTTTTTTTTTTTTTTTGATTTAGCAATGCTGGGGAATTGAACCCAGGGCCTTGCATATGCTGGGCAAACACTCTCCCACTGAGCTATGCCCTTATCCCCAAATATATATTTTTTCTCTTTTCTTTGGCTGTACTGGGGCTTGAACTCAGGACTTTGTGCCTGCAAAGTGGCACACTACTGCTTGAGCCCTATCACCAGCCCCTTTTAGTGTGGATCTGTCAAGGGGACTGCCTGTGCCCCTGTAGGTAAGCACATTTATTCCCTCATTTCCTGGTGCCACTAGTATTGGGGCTCATTGTAAATGGTAATCATTTCCAACCTTAGTGGCTTTGCTTTTCTAATGAGAAAAGAGTCTGGTCTAGTAGAAGTATAATATCCTTCCATGTCAGTTGAAAGGTTTGGACCACAGAGATAAAGGCTTGAATGTATTTGTCTGGGCATCAGTATAGCTGTCCAGATTTTTTAAATTTCCCTTAGATCTGATAACTGGAAGGGGACATAAGACTTGCCCTCTTCCTACCATTACCTGTTGAAGGGAGAAGCACCCATTAGGAAGTTCAATATAAGGGTGGCTTAGAAGGTAGAAATTTGAATAGGGGACCTTAGTTCATTTTTTTCCCTTTTATAGAAAAGGTATAATTGGAGTATGGATTATAATTTAAGGAACCCTGTGAAGGCCACTTCTCTTGGTCACCCAAGGCATACTGAGGCCAGGCCTCAGTACAAAGCTTTTAGCATCTACAAGCCAGAAGACTGGAAGGTGCAGATCCCATCTAGAAAGAACAAAATGTCAGGATCCTGTCTTTTAGCTAACAGCAGGCAGCCTCTTTAATAAAGGCTACTTTTTAAACAAAGGAATAAATCATCTGTAAAGTTAGAGAAGGTCATTTAGAGGGCATCCCGGGCCAATAGCAGTACCATATGGGACTAGTATTAATATTTGGAGGGAAAAATACATGTTGAGGCCCAAAGTATAGGAAATTTTAAATGAGAAGTTTATTACAATAATGTCCATTTTGTTATTTTTGGGACTATAACCTTAAGCTAACAGTTGGTTTACAAGGGCTGGGTCTGGTGCCCCGAGGTGTGAGGTAGGGCTAGGAGCAGGGCTTGTGCAAGGCGCCACTCCCTCCACACACACCCGGGACAAGCGAGCCTGACTGTCTAGGCCTGACCCTGCAGCCTGTTGCCCCTCCCCCCTTCCTGTGTACTCTGCATGTGTTTATTCTAGGGGAAGTGGTGGCAGGCCAAAGCCATCACCTTGTGTGGCTGGCGGCCTAGGATGTGTGTTGAGTTGGCCTATGGATTCTCTTAGCTATGTCAGGTGTTTCTGCTGTGCACCAGCAGGCCTATTTGCTTTCCCTTCTCCACTTGTGGGGGCGGAGTTAGGACGTTAGCGTGCAGCTGTAGTTTTTTGTAAGCACTTTTTGTAAAGCAGCTGATTTAAAGTTACTTTAGACTGAGAGGCCTGGCAAACTAGTTGGAATAACTTAAGTCATAAGATACCATGCTATAAGTTTTTAATGGGAGGCGGGATCCCAGTAAGCCCAGGGAGGGGAAGGCAGACAGAGACAAAGGACACGTGGTGGGACCCTGGAGGAGGCAGAAAAGGTGTCCTGACATCTTGGGTAAGGGAGGGGAAAGTAGAGCCTGGAGGCATGACACATGCCTGTAGGATTAGCCATCACCTGTGTCTCTAGGTCGCTCCCATTGACTGGTGCTGGAACACTTTCAGCAACACGAAACCTCCACTCTCCAGTTGCTGTCTCAGGAAGAAGGGGCATTAGATGGGGTGGGAAGGGAAGCAGTCGTCAGATGCCATAATCAAACAGGACTCCGCCAATGTAGCATGAGGCATACCTGAATAAACCTGGGGCTTGGTCTCAGCACACAGGGAAGAAGCATGGATTCTCCCAGAGCTGGAATCACCTTGAGGCTAGAGTTGGCAAGGAGTGGCTTGACACCATGATGGGGAAGTTCCTCAGGAAGATAGGAAGAAACAAGCAGGGAGAGCAGAGCAAGAAGTCTGCTTACATGGGGAAGGAGGAGGTTTGGGAGAGGATTAGGTTTGTTTTGAAGCTGGTTTAGAGGCTATTAGAACCTGCACAGGGGAACAAGAAGTACAGAGCGAGGGTTTGGTGTGGAGATACAAAAAGGATTGGGCGTAGGGAAGTTCCTTCCATTTACCAGCATGCTCACAGAAATTGTATAAATCCCTTAAAATATTGGGATTGAAAGTGCCATTAAGTGGCCATTTTGGAGGCATTGTCCAATGGATATTGGGGCCATGCCTGATTACAGAGAAAAATGAGCTTTCAGGGCTTAAGATCAGGCATGAGGCGTAGGGGCCCAAGATTGGCCAGAAGACATCCCAATGGGGATTCTGAAAGAATTTTGGATGGTCCAACTGCCATGGTGAAGCCTGACCTGAGGAGAGATATGACGGGCATCCCCGAAATATCAGGTCCTCAGGAAAGAGAAAGAGATGTGGAGCACCCAGAGGGAATGTCTTCACTATAGGGGTCCACAGTCCCTAGTGGGGAACAGGTTCCCAAGGACGGGAGCGAGCCAAGACCTAGTGCTAAGATTTCAAGGAAATGAGAAAGAGATCACAGCTCTGCATGCAAGGACTCACAGAAAGAGGACCTTGAGGGAAGATTGGCTGGTGGTGGATGGCAATTGGAGGTGCGCTGGGGCAAAGGAAATTCCCTGTGAGCTAGTGAGGGAGCAGTGTTTTCTAGGATCGGGGGTTCTGGCAAAGCAGCTCTGATCCCCGAGGAAGGGAATGGGAGTTGAGAGAGAGAGAGTGAGAGGGATGGGTGGGGGAGGCCGGGAGAGCAAGGTCAGTGCCGGGAGTGCACCTGATCTGAGTCATGGCACCAAACGTTAGGAAAAATGCCGTTCACAAAGAAAGCTCAGGAGAAAAGTCTCACGTCCATAGAACAAAGTTTAATGGCAGAGCCAAACTGCCAGGCTAGCTGGGGAAAAGATGGCACAGCAGTGAATCTGCGCCAAGCATGGCTTTTATAGAAGGGGTAGGTTAAGGAAGTTAGTAAATGCATGGGAGTCTGTGGTAGGGGTGGGACTGTCTTAGAGCACAGGAATTTCTGTTCAGGGCTGGGCTGTCCTTGGAAGTTTCTCAAGTGAGGTCTGAGGATAAAATGGCCACTGATTTATAAATGGCGACATTATTGTTCTATCAGAAACTTTGTATGAAATCCTCCAAGGGAACACTTGGATGTGGAGTCGTTGGGGACTGTTTGCTGCTTAGTATATACTATGGGCAACACAGACTGGTTAGATCTTATTTGAAGGACTTAAAAAACACTTGCTACCTAGGCATGGTAACTGGAGCATAGTCCTTGCTCCCTGGAAGGCTGAGATGGAGAGGATTGTGGTTCAAGTCCAGCCCAGGTAAAAAAAAAAGATCACAAGACCCCATCTCAACCAATAAAAGCTGGATGTGGTGGTACATGCCTGATACCAGCTATGGTGAGAAGCATGAATAAGAGAACCATGGTCCTGAAAGTGAGACTCTATCTCAGAAATAACCAGAGCAAAAAAGGCTAGAGGCATGACTCAAGTGGTAGAGCGTCTGCCTAGCAAGCAGAAAGCCTTGAATTCAAACCCCAGTACCAACAAAAACAAATAAACAAAATCCTTGCAAAATGTGTGTGAGGGAATATATTTTTATAATTTGCAATATATAAAAGTAAATATTAACATAAAATCCTTAGTCTGGTTTAGATTTTTGTTTTTCGGTGGTATTGGGGCTAGAAATTGAGGCCTTCCAGTTGCTAGGCAAGCACTCTATCACTTGAGCCACACCTCTGTCCTTTTGCTTTTTTGTTTGTTTTTAAAATAAGTGTCTTGCTCTAACTTTGCCTAAGCTGGCTTCAGACTGTGATCCTCCTACCTCCACCTCCTGAAGTAACTGGGATTGCAGGCATGTACCACCATATCCAGCTCCTTATCTGGATATAGTTTAAGTGGAAAACATAGAAACCCTTAATCTGGTTTATGGAATCATACCCCTAAGCATACACAATAAGTTACTGGAATACACACACAGATGTGTGCACACTTGGTCCAGTTTTCTACAATAAATGCACAGGCGTGGGCACCCACACACACTCGCAGTTTCACTTACATACTCATAAGCACATAATGCACTTAGAGTTTACTGAAAAAAAAAGTCCCTGCCTTTTTTTCTTTACGTGAATTTATTTATTTTTTGTGCCTTACAAATAAACATAATTTATTATACAAACATTATACAAATCCTTGTTTTATAATATCTGTGCATTATTACTTTCCAGCCTATTTTCTTAAATGAGGTTCTAGTAAAATTACCTACTGACCCTTCTGGAGATGAACCCATCTTCCACATTTCCCACATTGACAGAGTCTACACCCTCCGAGCAGAAAGCATAAACGAACGGTAAGACCCAAGCCTCCCTAGCACTGGGCTCAGGCCACGTGTCAGCAGGTCCTAGCATCCCCCATCCTCTGGTGGAGGGTGGGGAAAGTGTCATAGCTTTTTCTCAACCCTTTCAGAAGTTGGATGTATGGCATGAGTTTTTTAAAATAAAAGATTGAAACTTGCTTTTGATTGAGAATTTTGCAAAAAGAAGTATCCACCATCCATTGCAATAATTGGATCTCAGAGCGTCCCAGGTTTGCCCGGTGGCAGAAACCATCAGGAAAGTGATTTGGGGATTAGCAGGACCACCCACACCAGAATCTTCCTCCCACAGCCCCCTAGGATGGGCATTCTGGATTCTTAGGCTATGGGTATTTTACTTCAATCATGCCTCCATGATGCTGTCTTGGAGCCAAATGAAATAGATCATTTTCTGAAGGGTGTGCCTGACATAAGGCCAACCACATTCCAAAAAGCATGTGTGCCAAGCGAAAACTGGCTAAAGTTATTGTGCATATGGCTGTCTGAAAAAAACGAAGGAGAAAACACTGTGCCAAAGTGCTTCCTGCAGGTACTTTGCTCTTTCATGTGAAGTGGTCCCCAGCTGGGACATGGCTTTGGTTCTTCCTTTGGGTGACTTTTGTAAGACATCCTTCTGCCTTGTTGGGTAGGCCAAATATGTGATGCTTTTCACGAAGGGAGGAAGAGGAGAGCTGTGCCCAAACCTCCTCCAGGGTGGCATTTATCAGACTTTCTTCCCCAGGGTCTCAGATTCAGGAATTAAGTACAATTATAAAAATACCACGGGTGTTTTTCTTCCTAAGTCATAGGGATTATTATTAGCATCATGTGACATAAAGTCAGACTTTCTTTCCTGAGCCTTTGTTGTTAAAATTGAACGAACAAAGGAAACAAGAGTCTTGGAAACAGAATCTGAACAGACCTGAAGCCTTTTTCTCCGAGTGCTGCCTGACAACATTCTGTCTTTTCCCATCCAAGGACTGCCTGGGTGCAGAAAATCAAAGCTGCTTCTGAACTCTACATAGAGACGGAGAAAAAGAAGCGGGAGAAGGCATACCTTGGTAATGTCCCTCTGGGCAGCGGATCAGTGGTCCTGCAGAATGGGGGCAGGAGAGCTGTTGGCTAGAGCCCAGAATCCTTAGGGCTGGAAGGGTGGGGTGCAGAATGAGGGATGGAGTGCAAATTCCAGAGCAAGGGAGGAGCGAGAGTCCAAGAAGAGAAGGGCAGAGTTGCTTTGGAGTGGGGGCAGGATTGGGAGGCACACCAGGCAGGGAAAAACACCAAATGTTAAAATGAAGCATTTTGTGTTGTTTTCCTGCTGTCACAGTCCGTTCCCAAAGGGCAACAGGGATTGGAAGGTTGATGGTGAATGTTGTTGAAGGCATTGAGTTGAAGCCTTGTCGGTCCCATGGTAAGGACCCCCGAGCCCCTCTATTGGAAGTCTTCTCATTCCCCACACCCCCAGTCAACTTTAAATCAAGTGCTACTTCTTGTCCTAAATTTCCTTCTGGAATTGGTTTTTGTAGCACTTGTCAAAAAGCTGGAGTTATATTTATTTATTTATTGTCTATCCTTTCTGCTGTCCTGCTTTTCAGGGAGCCCTGACACTGCACTTACAGTAGATGTGACATACTGTAAGGCTAACAACACACAGGAAGGGCCTGGTTAAAAGGTCCACTAATCGATTTGTTCTTCATTTAACTATGATACTTTATTGTGGGAGTTTTCACTCCAATTAAGGTTGAAGTTCCAGTAAAATCCCCCAAATTTCCCACTGACCCTTCTGGAGAGGACCTGGCTGTCCACGTTAGCCATTACAGTGGAGGGGATAAACATGAGGTGTCATTCCCACCTGGTAAAGGCTTTTGTTCACTTCAGGAAAGAGCAACCCATACTGTGAGGTGACCATGGGCTCCCAGTGTCACATCACCAAGACCATCCAGGACACCCTGAACCCCAAGTGGAATTCCAACTGCCAGTTCTTCATCCGAGACCTGGAGCAGGAAGTCCTCTGTATCACCGTGTTTGAGAGGGACCAGTTCTCACCAGATGGTGAGTAAAAGTAGCACCATGGCACTCTTTCCCTCTACCTCCACTCATCTTGCAAGGGAACATATTTTCTTACCGGTGCCTACAATTACTTGGGTACAGAACAAGGTGGTGATGGTGGCATCTGAGAAGATATGGGCAGAGCATGCTTGATCTAGTTGTTCCAGGTGCCCTGAACAAAGGTCACAGTCATATGCTTTCCAAAGTAGGTGACTGTGAAGAGGGGTGTACCCAAGAGCCTTTTCATTGTTTTTTCAACCTTGGCGAAAAGCCGTGGGGTGGCTGGCCATAGTGGAACACACCTGTAAGGGAGGCAGAGGCAGGAGGATCTTGAGTTCAAGGCCAGCCTGGTCTACATAGCCAAATCTTGCTTAAAAAACAAAACCTGAGGATGTAGCTGAATGGTAGAGTGCTTGCCTAGCATGTACAAGGCCCTAGGTTTGATCCCTAGCACCAGAAAAAAAAAAAAAAAGCCATAGAATAACTGGCCAGCAGAGTGAGAAGAATGTTAGCCCGTGGCAGCTGCAGCAGAATCAATCCTTTCTGTTTAGGCAAAGGGGTGCAATTGTGTTGGGTGCATCGTTCCTTCTACCAGCTTTCTGTTTGTGCTTTGAGCTTGAAAAACAATGCTTTCTGGCCAATGAATCCCAGAGCTATCCCCCATTCTTTCAACCCAATAAAAATCGGAGAGTATTTGAAGATATGGACTCAAGTGTAATCAAAGGAGCTAACGAAGTGCTGAGAGTAAGGACCAAATGCTAGCAATATCTGTGCATGGCTTGAGTGGTTCGAAGCTGCCCTTCTTCTATGCATCCTCTCATGGGAGTTATGTGCCATTGGTTTGTCCAAAGACAGTCACATAGCACCGTTCTGATCAGTGAAGGTTTGGAGTGAGATTGATTTTCAATTTTTTCTTAATATTTTTTAAATTGACACATAGTGATCATACATATTCACGGGATACCATGTGGCATTCCAACTCATGCATACAATGTGCAGTGATGAGATCAGGGTAACATGCATATCTATTGCCTTAGACATTTATTACTTCTTTGTGTTGGGAGCATTCAAAATGTTCTCTATTTTTAAATTTTTATTTGTTTAAAGATTATTTATTTACCGTATTGGGGAATGAACTCAGGGCCTCACACTGCCAAGCACTTTGCCAGTTGAGCCATGCCCCAGTTCCTTTTGCTTGTTTAGTTATTTTGGGGATAAAATATTTTTAGATATTTTGTTTATGTCTGGGCTGCTTGGACTGTGATCATCTAAGCTTCCCACTTAGCTGGGATAACAGGAGTTTTCCACCAGACCCAGCTATTTGGGTGTCTGGTGATGGGGAGTCTTGCTTCTTTTCTGGCTTGGGCTGGTCTTGAACTGTGATCCTCCTGATCTCTGCTTTCTGAGTAGCTATCATTACAAGCATGTACCTGGCCTCCCCTCTATTTTTTTTTAATAATGAAATATGATGACACATTGACAAGTGAACTTTGGAAGAAGTTGTCAGAAATCCTAGAAGGAGGGAGCGCAGAGAGTTCAATATTCCCAGTATGACAAGTGTGTGCGTTGGGGACAAGAGGTCCTCTCTGAGCAGGTCTGTTTGTTCTCCTTTCAGATTTTTTGGGTCGGACGGAAATTCGTGTGGCTGACATCAAAAAAGACCAGGGATCCAAAGGACCAGTTACAAAGTGTCTCTTACTGCACGAGGTCCCCACAGGAGAGATCGTGGTCCGCCTGGACCTGCAGCTGTTTGATGAACCATAGGAGCGAGGGGGCATGTGCAGAGGGGTACTCTCCCATGGCCCCACATGCTGTCTGCAAACTGTGTCTTCTAAGAGACCACCATTGGTGTTCAGCCACAGGCAATGGGACAGCAAAGACAGGCCTCTCAAAGCTCCTAGGAATTATTCTTGACAATCCTGTCCTTCAAACAATTTCTGACTTTATGGCACTAAACTGTGTTTTCCTTTGTCCTCACTGCAGGTCTCATCATGGCTTCTAGGGCCTCTGAAATCCCATAACCTTCAGCTAGGTTTGGTTGTGAGCCTGGCCCATCCCCAAGCTGGAGGTGTGGGTCTGGTTACTATAAAATAGATTTATAAATGCAATGTCCGTATTTCTTTTGAGAACTCATGTCACCCTCCTGTTTCTCACCTTCACCAGCCCCTTAGTGGACTTCTGGCCTACAACGTGGTGTGTTTAGTACAATTATGAGGGACTGGTTGCTGCTTCAGGATATCATTTCCCCACAGGGAAGAGCTGTCCTGGATTCGATCACTGGGTCTCCTGATCAGGTACTGACTAAGCTCTTTGGAGAGCTAGTCCCTGGAAGTTTCCAGCATTCATGGTATTGCAACAGTTTTGTTCCCCTCTAGGCTTTGATTAATACATGCCAATGAAAACACACTGGTATACGTCAGCTGATTTGGTTCTGATTCCCAGCAGGCAGGCTTGGAAGATGGTCACAGAAGCCCATTATCTACAAAGTCATGCTGTACTGGATTAGGTCACTGCTGGCCACTGTTAAGGCACTGGGTCTTGATTGATAGCCATTGTTGGAAATTTTTCTTTTGGCTTAGAGGCCCTGTGATGTTTCATGACAAGTCGTTGCTGGTGACCAGCTCTGAGACTGGTCACAGTTGAATGTACCGGATCCTGACTTGTAAGAAATTTCAGCAGCTGGCTTTGGTAGGTTCCCAAGAAAGGCATGTCCTGGACCCCCAAGGCTTGTAAAGGAAAAATGACAAACTAGAGGTGGGGTGGAAAGATGAGAAGGAAATCATTATGTGGTTGGGGAATGACCCAAGGGGCATGCAAGCTGCATACATCTGAGGAGGAAGATCCCAGTATGTCTCCCAACACACACCAATCTCTCAGTAACGGAAATACATGCGCTCGTTGCCAAAGTCAGGAGTATGTGACCATGTACCAACCTGTTTGGTTTGAGTGCTTTGTTTTTTTTCCCCTTTAAATGCTAGGAGATAGGCTGGTTAATTAGATAATAACTTGATTTGCAGTGAAAAGGATGGGCCATGTTTTGTTTGCATGTTAGTGTTTCCATAAGCCCAGTGTGTCGTGGTCATGAAATGTTCTTTGCATGTTCTCTTGGTTCTGGAGTCTAGCTTTCCTATGTCAGATGGTGTTCGCTTTGATTGCAGGTCCTTAGAATTTAATTAGGGTTGCAGAAGTACTTTCTACATGATAGTTCCCCTTTACTGGGAACTGAATGCCTAGAGTGATAAGTCATCCCATAAAAACCCTGTCATATTTCAAGACATTTTTAAAAGTGTGTGTTGGAACAGACAACAAAGTTTACATTTCATACTTTTAAGAAACACTTTATTATTTATTTATTGAAGATAGTGTAGGATTTTGTATCAAGAACAACAGACATAAGTATTTTTTGAAACAAGCAGATATACTCTTTAGTTAGAAACTTTCAACTTGAACGTGTTAGAGACCAAGTTTAACTTCAGGCATGCATTGTTTACCTCGTCCCCGCAGAAAACATGGTTAAAATACTTTAAGTTTACATTTTTTAATGTTGTTAAGAAAGTGATTTAAATGAAATCTATAGACACATAACTCATGCTTTCTTAGTTCTATAACCAATAGAGTTTGTTCAGTGTATTTATGATGGACATGTTACCACAGTAGGAAAAAACAGAGTATTAAATGTGTAAGTGAGGCAGTGTTTGTTTACAATTCCAATCCTTTCTTTCTGTTCTTCCTTTTATCCCTCATTGATGTTATTTTTGTATTAATGTTGGACACCACTCTTCCTGTGGGGGGATGGTATGCACGATGACAAACATCTTACAACCTTGTAGGTCCCAGATCACCTCCTTGTGGAGTCCCATTATTGGAACTGATGTAGCATGAAAAAGCAATATGTGAATCTTGTCTCCCCAAGTGATTCCATGGAGTATCTCTGAAATAGTCTCCAGTGTAGCAAATTCTGGATTAGTGTCTTTGTACTCACTGCTGTAATTTGTAATATGACCGATTGTACTTATGGATGAGTTGAGCTGGCTTTTAGACCCAGCTGTGACTCAAAAGCTGAGCTGGGGAGATAGAGGAACATGGGCAATGCATGGAGCCTCAAACCCTTGGCCCGCTATTCCTTCATTTTTACCTTTGTGACCACCTGGGCTACATTTCATACAAATGAAATGCCCTTGCTGATAAGGAGTCTGTCTCCCAGCTCTTTGTTTTCCAAATACAGGGCTTCTCCAGGTCATGCCTCTTGGTATCCTGATCTCAGACTTTTTACACCCTGCAAGCATCCCTGTTCTCTGAGCTGCACTGCTAGTTCTTCTGCCGCTCTGCCCTCCTCTCTCCCAGGAAGGGTTACATGACTGGTTACATGGCTATGTTCTGATCCTCAGTCATCCCTGACAATTATCCTGGGTGCTCCGAGGACAAGAGCCCTTGGGCTGGCTGGCCTTTCTTTAGAGACCAGTTGTCCCAAAGGGGCAGTCCACATCCTAGTCTCTTTGGGACAGGACTTCTCTGTCCCAAAGAAGGTAGATAGAGAGAATCATCTCCTGGAATCAGGTCTGCTGTGACCATGAGAGCTTGAAGACATATGTGGTTCCTTCAGATCCAGGATTGATTAGGGGAAGAGGAACTATTTTAGGCTAGAGTCAGCAGGGATGCTACAGAAATTTGATTTCTTAGATAATAAGTTTCTGTCCTCTGACTGCAGAAAATAAGTTTCTGCTCCCAAAGAACATTAATGAAAGAGGGGACTTTTTTTCTTCTTTTTTGTTTTGCTTTGTTTGAGACAGAGTCTCTTTATGTAGGCCAGGCTGACCTAGTACTTCTGATCTTCCTGCCTCAGCCTCCTGAGTGCTTGTATTGCAGGTGAATACCACCACACCTAGCTTTCTTTGATTTTTGAACAAAAGCATGACCTAAGTATATGAAAGTGCTTGATTTTATGTGAAAATGAGCAAACTGACTGCTTGTATGACATCTTATATTGGTGACCTGATAGCAACAGGTGACTTGATATCAATGGGTGTCCCAGGGTGTGTCCAAAAGATCAGGTAGATTGGAGGAAGATGATTGCAGGTTTGCTTCCCAAGGTGAAAGGCCAACCATCTCTCCAGGAACTGTGCCTAAAGCCACAAGGGTAAGGCCAGTGACCATATACAGCAAGGATGTTCTAGAATTCAACAAGGCTGGAATTAAGGAAGAAATAAATAAGGGACCTCTGGTTTTAGATTGTTTTAGATCTTAGATTGTTTTAGAGTTAGCTAATACCTTGCATGAGGAGAACAAAATTATCTTTACTCTAAAGAAATTTTTCCAGTTGGTCAACTTTTTTCCTAGAAAGAACAATTTGTATGTGTCACAACTTTAAAATTTTCTGCTGGAAACAGAAAGCATGATTTGAATTGATTCCTTTATTTTGCCTTCCCTTTCAGGGTTGAGATGTGCTCTATAGCTGACACCAGCACTTTCACACGAATGTATCAGGGTAATTTGAGACTTGACGCTAGTGTAGCATAGCAATGGCTCTGCTTGTTCCAAGTATACTTGCTTTGCAAGTTTGGAGCCTCTTATGTCTGAAATGAGTAGATGAAAACAAATGAGCCTGGGTGTTGTTTTGCTTTAGGCGTAAGAGGTAGCACAGTGAAGCCCTCAGAAAGTGGGTCTGAGCACTCCATGGACATTTGTTAGAGCTAACATCTCCTCTTTGCACCCTGGGATGCTGATATGCTTGCCAGAGACTTTGCCTTCCTGTGGGGGACAGCCTGGTCAGTTGTCATGACTCACCAGGCAGTGCCTTGGGTCCTGCTTTGTAGGGGAAACTTAGTATTTTGTAAATAAAGTCAGGGTGTTCATTCTCCTTTTCCCTAGAGTGGACCATGTGACCAAACTCTTGTGTTTCTCTGTGTTTTCCATTCATTTGCTCCAAGGACACATGGAGGGTGGCATTTCTGGGAAGGCTGAACCAGAGGAGGGCTGCTTGGTCAGGCTTTTGTTCTGGGACAGACTTCAAGGACAGAAATGGGTTTGTGTAAATGGTGGATGTTCTTAGGACAGCCCTGACCTCCTTGGAGTACTAAGGGAGGATCAAGAATTCCAACATAGGCACCATGACATGACAGCCTCCACCTCCTGCTCATTCACACATGGTTTCCTTAAGGAAACCTTGATACAACCATTTTCTTTCTTCTTTTCCTTCCTTCCTTCCCTTCCCTTCCACCTTCCTTTCCCTTCCCCCTTCCTTTACTTTCCTCCTTCCCTTCCCTTCCCTTCCCCCCACCCTCTCTGCCTTCCTCCCACCCTCTCTCCCTTCCTTTCGTTCCTTCCAAGCACACTGTAATTCCTACCTGTCTGGGGCCCCTTTCTAGAGGAAGGCAGGCCTGTAAGCACCCATGAGTTCAGACCCGCAAGGTACTATTGTAAAGCAGCAGAAGAATGTGCAGAAAGAAAGATGAAGGGTGAAAAGCAGCTGAAATAGGTCATTGAGAAGCTCCTGCAGCTCTTTAGCCACCTTGGTCTTCTGGTCTTAAGAAGGGCCAAGTGGGAGCTGCTTGGAAGAACTGGAGGGCTCACCTCTACAGCTTACCCCTTTTGGGGGCTTCAAAAATCAGGCCAACCCTACACCCATTTGCAACCCCTGCCACTCCCACTGCCAGCCAATTCTGTCTCTGATGAAGACATGGCTTGTCCCTACTCTTATCACCATGGCTTGTACCTCCTGTGCTACAGCCTCTAGAGCCAGGGCCAGCCTTCTGGAGTGACTATTCCCATGAGCCCTTGAGTATTTTTATTCTGTCTTGAATGATTCTGATTAATAAGTGTTGTCTTGGGTGGGGTTATTCAAAGTAATAATGAAGACTTCTTATTGTTAGGTCTGACTTGGAGGAAGCACTGGCTGGTTGACATAAGTACCTCCCTCTCCCCAGCTTCCTCTTTCTGAATAAGGTTTCTGTTCCTTTGTACTTAGAAAACAGTTATTTGAGCTAGAGAAAATTCTAGAACCTGCTTCCTCATTGCTGTTTGTAGGTCACCAGGCTCAACTAAGGTGCATAACTTCATATCTATAGGAGCCAAAAAGAAATCTATTCCTGATAAGCTTGGGAAATGTAACCAATGTGAAACATGAACTACAGTCTTAACAACTAACTTGGGAGCATTCAAACTTAGATGCTGGCACTTTGAACAGTTTTATCTCTGGTTTGTCATCTCTTGGTAACATGGCCAATA